GCATTCCCGGAGAACCCGCCGCTCCTTTCCCGGTTTTCCCGATGAATTCCCTTGTCCCAACCCCAAAGGTCGCCGGAGCTGCCAAGGGGGGGCTCTGGGATCCCTCTGGAATCCCACCCGGGACTGGCATTCCCGGGAACTCGCCGCTCCTTTCCCGATGAAATCCCTTGTCCCAACCCCAAAGTTCCCGGGAGGGGCTCTGGGATCCCTCTGGAATTCCACCCCCACCCGGGACTGGCATTCCCGGGAACTCGCCGCTCCTTTCCCGATGAAATCCCTTGTCCCAACCCCAAAGTTCCCGGGAGGGGCTCTGGGATCCCTCTGGAATTCCACCCCCACCCGGGACTGGCATTCCCGGGGAACCCGCCGCTCCTTTCCCCATAAATTCCCTTGTCCCAACCCCAAAGGTCCCGGGAGGGGCTCTGGGATCCCTCTGGAATTCTGCCCCCACCTCCGGGAGCGGCTGGAGCCGAGGGAATTCGCTCCCCACGACATTCCCGGTGTCCCGGTGATGCCATCCCGAGGATTCCCGGAGGATTTTCCATGCCGGGATGGCACCGCTGGCGTTGTCCCCGTCCCTGTCACCCCCCTTCCCATTCCCACGGGATTCCGGCTGGGAATTGGGATTAATCCCGGCCCCTTCCCATTCCCGCTGCTCCCGGGGCGGGAGGGAATTGGGAATTAACCCTTGAGGAGCTGGGATCTGCTGGAATTCCCTGCCCGGGGAGAGCCAGGAGGGAATCCGGCACGGGAATTCCAGAGGTGTCAGGTGTCCCATTCCCTGTCCCATTCCATGGGATCCCAGCTGGGATCCACCCCATGGAATCCCCAGAGTATCCCGAGCCATCCCTAAACTCGGGGGATCCAGGAGCTCCCCCAGCTCCAGGCTGCCTTCTCCCACCCCCAAAATTCAGGAATCTCCCGGGATTTCCCTGCTCCTCCAGCTCATTCCCAGCCAGGATTCCCAGGATCCCCTCCATGGAATCCCCAGAGTATCCCGAGCCATCCCTAAACTCGGGGGATCCAGGAGCTCCCCCATCTCGAGGCTGCCTTCTCCCACCCCCAAAATTCAGGATTCTCCTGGGATTTCCCTGCTCCTCCAGCTCATTCCCAGGATCCACCCCATGGAATCCCCAGAGTATCCCGAGCCATCCCTAAACTCGGGGGATCCAGGAGCTCCCCCAGCTCCAGGCTGCCTTCTCCCACCCCCAAAATTCAGGAATATCCCGGGATTTCCCTGCTCCTCCAGCTCATTCCCAGGATCCACCCCATGGAATCCCCAGAGTATCCCGAGCCATCCCTAAACTCGGGGGATCCAGGAGCTCCCCCATCTCCAGGCTGCCTTCTCCCACCCCCAAAATTCAGGATTCTCCTGGGATTTCCCTGCTCCTCCAGCTCATTCCCAGGATCCACCCCATGGAATCCCCAGAGTATCCCGAGCCATCCCTAAACTCGGGGGATCCAGGAGCTCCCCCAGCTCCAGGCTGCCTTCTCCCACCCCCAAAATTCAGGAATCTCCCGGGATTTCCCTGCTCCTCCAGCTCATTCCCAGGATCCACCCCACGGAATCCCCAGAGTATCCCGAGCCATCCCTAAACTCGGGGGATCCAGGAGCTCCCCCAGCTCCAGGCTGCCTTCTCCCACCCCCAAAATTCAGGAATCTCCCGGGATTTCCACGCTCCTCCAGCTCATTCCCAGCCAGGATTCTCAGGATCCACCCCACGGAATCCCCAGAGTATCCCAAGCCATCCCCTAAACTCGGTGAATCCAGGAGCTCCCCCAGCTCCAGGCTGCCTTCTCCCACCCCCAAAATTCAGGATTCTCCTGGGATTTCCCTGCTCCTCCAGCTCATTCCCAGCTGGGATTCCCAGGATCCACCCCATGGAATCCCCAGAGTATCCCGAGCCATCCCTAAACTCGGGGGATCCAGGAGCTCCCCCAGCTCCAGGCTGCCTTCTCCCACCCCCAAAATTCAGGAATCTCCCGGGATTTCCCTGCTCCTCCAGCTCATTCCCAGCCAGGATTCCCAGGATCCACCCCACGGAATCCCCAGAGTATCCCGAGCCATCCCTAAACTCGGGGGATCCAGGAACTCCCCCATCTCCAGGCTGCCTTCTCCCACCCCCAAACTTCAGGAATCTCCCGTCCGTGAGGAAAACCAGCATTTCCACCTGGAAAAAAACCCCTGGAATGGCCTTTTTCCTGAGCTCCCCCCGCTTTTCCAGCGGCGCCTCCCAGGAGCTCCGCGCGGGAGGTTCATTCCCGGCCGGAGCGCGGCACCTTCCGTGCGCTCCCGCACTTAATCCCTGTCTCGGCAGCTTCCGAAATCCAACCTCTGTCATCCCCTTCCCGGCCCTCTGGAAGCTCCCGGGGCCATCTGCTTTCGTTTAGCGCCGGGGAACGATCCCGCTCCGCTGCTCCGGCACCTTCCAGCCGGCAGAATTCCCGGGGAAAAAAAAGCCGGATCCCGGTGAGCCCGGCCCGGGTTGGGGCTGGGAATGATCCCCCGGGGGCAGAGGGGGGGATCCGAAGGGAGCTGGGGGTGCAGGGAGTCCTGAAATCCCTGGGATGGCGGCCAAAATCCGGGGGATGGCGGCCAAAATCTGTGGGATCGCGGCCAGAGTCTGAGGAGCCGCGGCCAAAATCCGTGGGATCGCGGCCAGAATCCG